TCAAATTCGGCCAACCACACCTATCTTTCCTACATGAACTATATTCATTTTTTAAAAGATTTTATTTATTTTAAAAAGAGAGAGAAAGCACATGTGCATTTGGGAAGGAGGAGCAGAGGGAGAGGGACAAGCAGACTCCATGCGGAGTACAGAGCACCATGCGGGGCTCGATCCCACGACCTGGTGATCATGACCTAAGCCAAAATCAAGAGTCAGATGCTTAACGGACTGAGCCACCCAGACTTCCCCCTACATGAGCTATATTTAAAGGCAACCCAAAAGCCTTAGTTGATGAGCAGAAGTAATAAAGATGGAAGGAATGGCATTATTAGAAAACCCCCATTTGGCAACTCCCTAAAAAAATAAGCAATTTAGGCAGCTAGCGTCAATGAAAATGAAACCAACAGCAGATGACAGCTTGATGAGGAACCGCAGAGCTGACCATACCTGAACCCACTCTAGAGACAGGACTACTGAGTAACACCTACGTGTCATGTGCCTCCAGCCATGAAGTACACAGCACCACCTGTGAAGTACTCTTACCAAAAAAGTCGAACCAATCTAATTAGCTGTTAGAGCTAGCTTTCAGTTTACAGGAAATACAGAAAATAGAAGTGCATTTTAAATGATCTCATGACGAAGGGAACAGAAAAATCCAGAATGTGGAATATTCTGCAATACAACTGACCCAGTTTCTTCAAGAAGTCAATTAGGGGAGGTGAAGGACGGGGACACCTGTTCCAATTTAAAAGAGACATTATTACCAACTACAATATAAGAACAATATTTGGATCCTGATTCAAACCAACCAAGAATGGACATTTTTAAGTGAATCAGAAAAAATGTGACTATAGACTCAGAATTACAGTAAGCATCACCATTAGATATTAAACTAAGAATCATCGTTTTCATTGGTTGGGGTAAAGATTAAGGTTGTATAAGAAAACATCTGTAGTTTTTAGAGATGCATACAGGGCTGAAACCCTATAAAGGGCTTGCTAATTGCTTTATAACATTTTGGCAGTCACACAGAAAGGGGATGGACCAGGCCAGTGGAGCAGAATGTTGCAAAAGAATGAACCTGGCTGATGCATATGTATGGGGGATTATTAGTCTACTCTCGGGCATGACTCGATATTTTTACAATAAATACAATTTCATTTCAGAGCTTTCACTCCTGGAGCATCCTTTGAGAACCAATTGCTGTCTTAAGGGTTTCACAGACATTTCTCACGACTGCCTTATACAGTAGGGTACTATTCTGACCCCCGCTTTTATAGATAAGCAAACTAATGAAATGTCAACCAGTTTGGGGTGGAGCCAACAGGTCAGCCAGTCAGCTATCATCTCAACAAAGCCTCAGAAGCCAAGTAAATGAGAGATTTCTACCTTTTCCATTTCACAAAGCCTGTTCGCACATGGGCTGCAGCACATGCTCGCAGGCAGTCTCCCGAAACCACGTGCCCACCATCAGCACCGGGGAGGGCGGAAGGTGCCGAAAGGCAGAAAAGGAGCCGACAGGCAGGGGACACAGGGGGAAAGGGAAACAACAGAACCAAGGCGGTGACACACGGAGACAGTCATGGAAAGGGGCAGATGGAACAGACGGGAGAGACAAAGGCAAAGGAGGTGGGGGGCTGCCGAAATGGAAAGATGGAAGACCGACAGAGCCGGCCACCTTCCTTCTGCCCCCACCCCTAACACCAGCCAAAGAGGAGAAGGCCGCAGAGCAGGAGGTGGGGCCAGACACTGAACATGCAGCCATGCCCAGACGTAATTACAGATCTGTGTTTGGCGAGGTTACCATGTACTCTTCTCTCCCCATCCTGCCCCCAAGGCAGTCGCTGTCCTTTCCTGTGACCTTCCAAGTTCAGACTTAGCTTCCCCCGACTGGCTCTGAGCTCACAATGGGGAAGGAAGGGAAAGGAAGGAATTACTTATTCATCTAAGCAATTTTTAAATTCTTTAAAACAGTTTCATCGAGATAGAATTCATAGGCCACCAGTGCACCATGAAGCTGCTCTCGGGGCAGAGCCTGTGTGGCTGGGGCTAGGGCATGAGGCCCCCTTCATGCCAGTAAGGCACTCAGGTCAAGGGCTCCCAGGGCCAGCTACCCACAAGGTTTGGACCAAAACAATGGGAAAGACACCCGCCTGGGGGCCTACATCTGTGTTGGGGGGGACGGCAGACAGGAAAGGCATGAGGATCAGAAAACACAACGGGAGAAAGAATCCTTGGAGCATCTCACAGACTGGCATGAGAGCTCAGGGGACCCCGGGCTTGCCACAATCCTCCAGTATGCCTTAGTAATGGGGAACCACCTGCTCAAATTACAGGTTAAGAACCACCTTCCTCCTGTAGCAGCAGCATTTATAATAGTCAAAAAGTGGAAATAACCCAGACATCCGTGGACAGATACAAGGATACACAACCCATGGAACAGCCATATAGTGGAAGACCGCCGAGCATAAAAAGGAATGAGGTCTCGGCACATGCTACAACACGGATGACCTTGAAAATGATCTGAAGAGCCCCACACAATGGCCACTTATCGTCCGGTTCCATCTAGAAGGAGTGCCCACCACGGGCAAATCCATAGAGGCAGAAATTAGACTGGCAGTATCTAGGGGTGGAGGGAGAGTGCTAATGGGAATGGAGCCTCTTTTTGGGGGTGCTGAAAACGTTCTAAGATGAGGCTGTGGTGCGGGTTTGCACAAGCCTGTGAATACGCTAAAAAAGTATTGAACTGTATTCGTGAGAGGAGGGTGTTTTATGCCGTGTAAAACAAATCTCAATAAAGCTGCAGATCGATTTTTTAAATTCAACTAATAAATAAGTCGTTCCTTTTTTCCCTTCCCTCCCAAAGATAAGGAGTTTCTCTCTTGCTATCATGACAGTTTTATTTTCCGTTCTTTAGCACAAAAGCAGAAGCAAAGGGGAGCTTTTATTTATGCAGATGACAGTTAACCAAACGCCGTGAACACAATGAGAAGCAGCAATAAAACATGAGACAAAAGTCAAACTCTTTCCACTGCTCTGTTCCCGCACCTGATCCTGATGACCGGGCTGAAATACTTCTAGGTAGGCTAAGGGCCGCCAGCCCTCCACACATTGTCCTCGGACCACAGACCGGCCACACTCCATCTGCTTGTCTGGAACCCAGCATCCAACTTTTGACCACTGTACTTAGGGGTTACCACAGAAGGTGCATCGCCTTAATAGATGGCTAATTTGCAGACTAGATAAAAAGTTTACCAAAATCCAAAGACTTTCTGCATCGGTTTCTACTTTACTTGAACACAAGAGAGAATCACGACTCTTTCTTTTTTTTTTTTTTTAAGATTTTATTTATTTATTTGAGAGAGAGAATGAGAGATAGAGAGCACGAGAGGGAAGAGGGTCAGAGGGAGAAGCAGACTCCCTGCCGAGCAGGGAGCCCGATGCGGGACTCGATCCCGGGACTCCAGGACCATGACCTGAGCCGAAGGCAGTCGCTTAACCAACTGAGCCACCCAGGCGCCCCACGACTCTTTCTTTAAAAAAAAAAAAAAATCTATCCTGTTCTTACTGGGTGACCCTCTCTACAGTACATTTTATATTCGCTGTTTCCCTTCCAAGAGCCTTTACAGAATGACCAGAGAAGAAGGACAAATCAGAACAAGTTACCTCACCAACGTAAGTCTGCATGTCCTAACCTGTAAATAGAAAGGCCACCCAGAATTACGGCGAAGGATATTCAGTCTCAAAGGGATCAGTCAGTCTGTGTCTATGAATCATGGAGACAGAACTAAGTGCAGAAACTGAGTTCCAGGAAACTTTAGTACAACCGCAGTTTCTTGAAATTTTAATAAAGTAATTTCCTCTAGGATTAAAATAATTTAAAAACTATGACACAGTTCCTTGGCAAACCTTCTCTGAATAATTGTGGGAGGCAAGTAAGGAGCAAAGGAAGGAAAAGAGCTTCCAATTCTCTTATACTCAGCTAAGGTGCTTTCATGTAAAATCCTGGAATTATCTGTTTATTGCATTACTATGGGCAGATCAACAATATAGACAGCTGGCAGGTCAAACGATAAATCCTATCCTAGTTGAAAACAAAATATTGTCTAAGAAATTCCTGGACAGCAGGAACTGATTTGGGGGCATGAGAGAAAGAAAATAGGTAGACTGCACTCTCACCTAACCTGGCGGGCAGTCACCTCTAAACAAATTCCCAGCTCTGTGGAAGGCAGGTGAGAACACAATATTCCATTGTTTTGCAGGCCTTGAAGACCCACACTCAAGCAATCCCTGCTCAGTCCTCACTTCTCCAGGCACTAACTGCTGGTAATCAGAGAACACACCTACACATCCACACACCTGCACAGACCAGGACCAGCACTGGCCAGAGTGGGTATCAGATGGAGAGAGATGGATCCTTGACCCCTATGTACAAAACAAGGGAGTCCTGGCGACCCGCTAAGTAAGACTGAATGGAGCCATGGGGATAAGAGTGATTGACACGGAACTGACAATGATGAGCAGCATGCAAAGACTATAAATCAGCCCATGAAAACTGATGAGATATCGCAAGCCAGCCCCACACTTTGGAAGGAGATGGCCAACCACAGGGGTGCAGTATGTTTCTGAAGACACATGCCAACTCCTTGTGATCACAGAAAGTACAACAGCAGTAAGGGAGGCTGGGGACCTCGGACTCGGGTCCGAACAGAGAGCTTTTCTTTCTGGTTACCAACTATCCATCCTTTGATTTTGGCAACCCCCAACTGCTTTAAAATCTCGAATCAAACTAGTCTGTTTCCCAATAGCTTATTCACAAGATATATTACTAGGGATGTAAGTAACCATTCAGTATCTTATTATTCCATAAAACCTCCTTCTTCCCCAGCTGGAGCTATAAAGCACATAAAGCACTAGGGGGCTGCATTTATACGTAATGGTAATGCCACCCGAAACCACCACTGAACTCACAGTATGCCAAATGAGTAAGTGGGACTTACCAATTTTCTGATTAAAAATCTTGTCAAAGGTGATTTCATTTCTCTCCTGAAGATACTTCTGCATCACACTCCGGATACTAAAAGAGAAGAGTGACACGTTTTTAGCAGTGACAGCCTGCATCATGAGAAACTATCCCCAGCGTGGACAACACATAAATGTCTTAACTCGAGGCAGCTGGCTGACCAGAGAGCCCTCGTAATGACATCCGTGACTACATGGAGGGCTGATGGCACTTAAAGCTGGGGGCGTCATGACCCCAGCTGGTGCCCCCTCCCATGACTCAGGGCCGACCTGACATGTGGACACTTGACCAAAAATAACTTAAGGACTGACTGTGGAAAGCTCGCCCTCCACACCACCGTTTTTCAAAATACACACAAGCATGTGCACACGTGACACATTCTGCTAATCGATTAATGAGCTTCTTTCTAAAACAAAAGCAAACGTTCCCTGGATATATGACTGAGATTTTTAAAAACCACATTTCTATACATCAACAATAAACAGCGAGAAAACATAATTAGAAGGAAGATTTCACTTAAGATAAAATAAGAAACACCAAATGCCTTGAAATAAATCCTTCAAAATATGTGCAAGAACTTTGTAGGAAAATTACAAAATGTACTGAAAGACATAACAGAAAACCTTAATAGATGGAAAAGTACACCACAGTTATGAACAGAAAGATTTAATACTGCAAAAAACCAACATCTACCCAAATTTATCTATAAAATCAATTCAACCCCAACTCCCATCACTATTCCACGGAGTTTTTCATAGAACATAGAAACAATTAGGTCTTTATAAACTGTATACTGAACAACACAGGATCAAGAGTAGCAAAAACATTTACAAAGAAAGAGAATATCGAGAACAAGGCTCATTATGAAGCTAAAATAATTAAGACAGGATAAACAAATTAATCCATGAAATGGAATAGAGAGCACGTAAATATGGAACTTTAATATATAAGGCAGAAAAGGCAGAAAAATGGAGAAACTGGGATTATTCAACGAGTGAACCAAAAGTGAATATCCAAATGGAAAAAGTAGAAACTGAGTCTCTATCATCCACTGGTGGGAAAAAAATTGGCAGCAGCACCACCCCCCTTTTAAAAACTTTTTAAAACAAACTGATTGAGGTATAATCTATATATAGTTAAATGCATATTTATGTGTACTAATAGACGAGTTTTTCACATGTAACTACTATCCTAATCAAGATACAGAGTATTTCTTTTTTTTTAAGATTTTATTTATTTGAGAGAGAGCACGAGTGGGGAGGAGGGGGGGAGAGGGAGAAGCAGACTCCCCGCTGAGCAGGAGGCCCCAGGAAGAGCTCCATCCCAGGATCCTGGGATCACGACCTGAGACGGAGTCAGACGCTTAACTGAGCCAGCCAGGTGCCCCCAAGTTATAGAATATTTCTATCACCCCAAAAGGTGCCCCTTTGCAAGTCTCCCCATATTCTAGGGATCCAGTCAAATACTGATCTCCTTTCTGTTAATTCAGATTACCTACTCCTTCTAGAATTTTAGATAAATAAAATCACACAATATGTTGTCTTGTGTGTCTGGCTTCTTTCACTTGACATAAGCAAGCTTCCTCCATTTTGCTGTGCACATAAGTATTTAGTTCCCTCTTATTGCCAAGTAGTATGGCATTGTATGAATATTCCACCATTTGTTTACCCATTCATCTGTTGATAGACATTTGGGTTGTTTCCAGATTGGGGCTATTATGAATAAAGCTGCCTTAAATATTTTAAGTCTTTATATGAGCACATGTTTTCATTTCTCGTGGGTAAATATCTAGGAGGGAAATCGCTGGTCATATGGTTAATTATATTTAACATTATGAAAAATAGCTGAATTATATTCCAAAATGTGTGATATTACATTCCCACCAACAATGCATGAAATCCCAGTTGCCCCATATCCCTTTGCCAACACTTTGGTTGTCAGTCTTTTCAGTTTTAGCCATGTTAGGTAGTGTAGTGGCAGCTTATTTTAATTTGCATCTCCCTAATGAATGATGATGTTGAGTATGTTTGCACATTACTGGATTATTGGAGTGCTTACATCTTCTCCTGTGAGGTGCGCAGTGAAATCTTTTGCCTACCTTTTAATTGAGTTGTCTGTCTTATGACTCAACTGTAAAATTTCTATGTCCTGGAAGCAAGTCCAGTGTCAGATTTATGTGATCGTAATATTTTCTCCCAGTCCACACCCTGTCTTCATTTCCTTTGTGAAGTCCTTCCAAGAGCGCAAGTGTCTAGCTGATGAGTTCCAATGTATTATTTCCTTGGTGGACCACGCTAAGAAATCTTTCACATCCCATGGTCATAAAGATTTTTAACCTAATATTTTCCTTTAGAAATTTTAAAGCTCTAGCTTTATGTTTAGGTCTAAGATCCATTTCAGGTTAATTTTTGTGTATGATACAAAGTAAAAGCTCAAGGTTCTTTTTTTCCCTTATAATACCTAGTTATTCCGGTATCGTTTGTTGGGGGGGAAAAAAAGGATCCTTTCTCCATTGAATTACCCTGGCACGTTTGTTGATGCAACACCAAATTTGGGTAGGTCTATCTTTGGGCTATCCTGTTTCATTGATCTGTATGTCTATCCTTCCATCAATACTACATTGTCTTGATTGCTAGAGGTTTAGAGTGGTCTTGAAATCGGGTAATCCAACTTTGTTTTACTGCTTTTGTGGGGTTTTTGGTTTGTTTGTTTGTTCATTTTTTGGCTATCCTAGGTTCTCTGCATTTCCATTTCAGTTTTTTCCCAGAAATTTCTTCCCAGAAAAAGCGTGATGGGGCTCTGATTTGGATTGTGCTGAATCTATAAATCAGTCTGGGGGGAATTAACCTTTTAATAATATGAAGTGTACAATCCATAAACATGACATACTACTCCATATACTTCGGTCTTCTTTAATTTCTCTCATTGCTATGTTGTAGTTCTCAGTACAGAAGTCTTACCTTTTCTTGCAATCGCTTTCTCTGGTTTTGATATCAGGATAGTATGATTCATAAAAGGAGATGGGGATTATTCCCTTCTCCTCTATTTTCTAAAAGTGTAGTGTTAATTATTCCTTAAATGTTTGATAGAACCCATCAGTGAAACCATGTGAGTAGAATTTTCTTTGCAGGAAGGTTTGAAACTTACACATTCCATTTCTTTCATAGATGTAGGGCTACTTATATTTTCTGTTTCTTCTTGAATTAGCTTAGGTGACTTGTGTCTTTTAAGTAATTTGTCCATTTCATCCAATCTGTCTAGTGGAACTCAAAATAATGATTCTGAGTAAGAGAAGCCAGATCAAAAGAGACAGACAGAGACAGACAGAACACACTGTTTGATTACAAAGAGGCAGGGGCAAACACTGGGGGGATGATGTGTATGGTAAAATAATATACATACATCTCTTGGCACAGAGCTCCTAAAACCCTTGGAATTTCTTAGTGGTAGAAGTATCTTATTCATAATAAGCCCTTTTCAGCCCTACCTGAGTTAATGCTAATGGAGGTAACTCTTGGTAGGCCCCTAGACAGCTTCAGGATGGAGCCAGCTGCCAGAGGAAACAACCATGTGTTTAGAGGGTTGGAAATGTTAGCCCCACCACTTGACATCTGAGAGAGTAGGGACTGAGTTCAACTACCAGCGACCATGATTTAATTAAGCATGCCTATGTAATGAAACTTGGATAAAAACTCTAGAACGATAAGGTCTAGAGAGCTTCCGGGCTGGTGAACCCATGGATGTGCTGGGACAGAGGTGCTCCACTCCACCCCTTCCCACAAGACCTTGCCCTATGTAACAGCCCCTTTGAAGTTCCTGATTTGTATCCTTTACAATAAACCGAACCGTAGTATAGCACCTTCTTGAGTTCTGGGAGTCGTGCCAGGGAAATACCAAATGTAAGGGGAAGATCATGGGACCCTCAAACTTGCAGTCAGCCAGATAGTAATGCAGATAGGATCCCATTTGCAGCTGGCATCTGAAGTGGGGCAGTCTTGTGGGACTGAGCCCTTAACCTGGGAGTCTGTGCCAACTCTGGGTGGTTAGCATCAGAATTGAATCCAATTGCAGGACACCCAGTTGGTGTCAGGGAATTGAGAATTGTTGGAAGGTGACATAATGTATGTGCTTGTTATCTTAATTTTGTTAATAGCTTCACAGGTATTGACAAATTTTGCCAAACTAGACATCTGAGATATGTAGTTTGTTTTACATTAATTATACCTCAAAAAAACTGGGTTTTCTAAAATTATATCACAAGGAGGTAATCAGCAAAATCTTGAGTGTTGGAAATTCTCTACAACACCTGACCCTATTTCTTTAACAAAAAAATGTCAAGAGGGAAAAATGATGGACAGGAACCTATAGTTCAAAAAAAAAAAAAACTTAAAAGAAGTAACAGGCATAATGGATGGACCTTATTTAAAACTCAATTCGAGTAAAAAAAAATATCTTATAAAAACTGGAGAAATGTGAATACAGACTGAATATCTGATGTTAAGAAAGTATTACATTTTAGCAACGGCAAGATATTATGTTATATTTTTATATTTTAAAAGAGTTATCTTTTGGTGATACATACAGAAATTTTACAGATGAAATGATCTATTATGTCTACATCTGCTTCAAAATAATCTAAAGGGAATTAGGAGGTATGGATGAAACAAGATTGGCTATGTGTTGATAACACATAAAGTTGAGTAATTGCTACATCAATTTCATTATACTATTCTCTCTGTACGTGGTTAAAATTTTCATTACAGAAAGTTTTTTAAAAAATCAAGTTCTGGCCTCCAGACTCCTGAACCATTTCTTTACATACCTCCTCATCAAAACAAAGCATGTATACTATATATAAAACCCTATATATTGATTGGAGGCCTAATGAATCTTTTTAAAAATTTAACGCCAAATGGTTAGAGATACATCAACCCTACCCATCATGACCTATTGGGGGCCTGCCATATAAATACCACACAAGGTAAGTATAATAAATATCATATCATAATTTAAAATTTTTTTCTGCTACTAAAGTTCTTGAAAGATCTGCTCTC